AATCAGGAAACAAAACACCAAGCATCCCTACCCATTTCCTATTCTAACCAAATGCAGAAGCTTCAGACGGACTATGGACACGCAAATGCCCACCACTGTACTGTTCAGTGGAGAAGTCTTCCCTCCTAGTCTGAAAAGCCTGACTTATGTGGCCATTCCTTACACCCTCACTCTACAAATGCAGAATGACATCCACAACAACTTACTGAGGGAGTCTAAAGACTCCAAGCTTTTGAAGTACAGCACTACCACAGGGTAAAAGACTGCCCCTTTCCTTGGCTGCCTCTGTACCAAGTCTCTCCTGGTATAGACCCAGGTTATGCTTCATTGGTCTTCTGTTTCATTCTGAGTTTCGTCACTCAAAGCCCTCTAGGAACCTCAGTTTGAAAAATTCGACCAACTGCTACTTTTCATTCTCCTATTCTTTCCAGGCCAAACTTTTCCTCCTCCAGACACTTCACAATGTCCCTTCTCCAGAAAGTCAAGTGTTAATGCAAAGGAAGGTGGGCCCTCCTCCCACACTCTTGATAACGCCAGCACCTCCTCCCAGCCGGCCGCACCTCCTTTTCACCCAGCACCTCCTCCCAGCCAGCCGCACCTCCTTTTCACCCGGGAGAGACCAGGGACAGGGAGAAAACTTTCTTTGCTGATAGATGACAAAGCAACTCTATCAAGCAGTTGACGGGCAAGATACTTAGCTGGTGTCTAGCTGCAGATAAATCCTCCAGACCTACCTTCTCTATTCCCCTTGTCAACCCATTTTTTGAACTTTAATATTCAGTTTTCCTTCTAGATTCTTGTCATATGTAAACTTGCTATCTCCAAAAAGTCCTTTTATGTTTACAGAACAAAGGGACAATATAGCTAACAAATGCCAGGTATCTATTATTGTATGTTCTGATTTCTCTCAATGGGCTCATAAGATGACAAATTATATTTAAAACTAATGCTAGTAAGAGCCAGCTTTAATTCATGCAATACATTTATTTCACATAACTCACAGCGGTCCTCCTGCCTCAGCCTCCCCAGTGTGGGGATTACTGGCATTTTTGAAAGAAATTGGAGATCTTCTTTTACAGATTAGAAATTGTAAACTATAAAACATTATTGAAAATTAATCCAAGATTCACAATTAATACATTCCTCAAGTTCTCCAAAGAAGGAATAGCACATTATCTTCCCTAAAAACAAGAAATAAAACACCAAGTATCCCTAGATAAGAAATCGCTCTACCAATAAACATACTTGAATTATGAATCTTGATGACAATTTAACAACTGGAAACTCACCACTCAGGAAACAGAGCAGTAACGTATCCATCCATCTGTTCCCCTCTTTTCTCTGCCCTCCTTTCCATACTGAAGGAAACCACTATTACAACGTTTGTCACTATCATTCCTTATTTTGGCTTTTCAATAATTCTGTCATACATAGAACCTATACAATATGTTGTTTGATTCTACATCTTATTAAACTTTATAAAAAGGGTGCCATCCCACATGTATAACCTTCTGTCTGCTTAGGGTTTCCACTGCCCTGCTGCAGTTCTTGCTTTTCAATATCATATAGATTTCCTCCGAAGGAATGAACTTTGGCAAAAGGCCATTCTTAGTGACAATACTAACAATTTCTATGCGAACCAGTATTCTTCACAGCCTATGACAGGTCTTCAAATACAGCTTTATACCAGAATTCCTTTCCTAAAGCTACCTCTTTCTTACTACTGGGCTTCCAGGTAGTATTCAATCCCAGAACATATCCTTTGGAGGGGCTTCTTGCAGATCCTTTCCACATCCTCAATGCAAATAAATCTTGATTGAATAAGGTTTGGAATAATATCTGGTCACTTCATGTATGCCATAACCCAAACAGCCACACCTCATGCCTCCTGTCTCAGCCTGCTTTGTCTATTTGAAATCCTGAGTAATGGCCCCACCATCCAATCGAATGCTCAAGGAATCAACACAGAGCCATCCTCGCTCACCTCTTTTCCTCTCCAGCCTCTCATGCATAAGGAATAACTGAGTTAACAGTTACTGGGAGAAGCAATACTAAAATGCACATCTGACCACAGGACTCCCCACTGGTAAGTAATCCCATTAATTTAGTGAACTGTGATTGTTTTTTTT